TTCAAAGTGCTGCTTTTAACCTTTAAAGCCCTAAATGGCTTGGGTCCAAGCTATTTAAAAGACTGCATCTCCCTCTAGTTGCCTTTGGAAGGTGTCCGGAAACTTCAGAGGCTCCAAAATGCCGCAGCCAGATTGCTAACTGGGCACAATTAAAAGTGCTGGTTTTAACCTTTAAAGGCCTAAATGGTTTGGGTCCAAGCTATTTAAAAGACTGCATCTCCCTCTACGAATCTGTCTGGTAATTAAGATCATTGTGGAGGCATGGATGTTTTTAAATGTATTTGTATTGACCATGTTTTAATATAATACTTGTTTAATCCTTTGGCTTTTCCCTCAGTCCCACCACCCTCACAAGCATACCTGGTGGGGACATGGGAGAGGGCCTTCTCTGTCACTGCTCTCAGACTCTGGAACTCCCTCCCATGGGAAGCCAGGTTGGCCCTTGCTTTTGCAAGCTGGTGAAGGCATTTCTAGTGACTTGGTATCCTGAGGGTTCTTTTTTTAATGAATGGATTATTGTTCTCTGATGTTTTTAAATGTGTTTGTATTGACCATTTTTTAATATAATACTTGTTTAATCCTTTTAAAATATTTGTATTTTCACTGTTTTTAGCCTTTAAATATTATCTTTGTTTGGATCCTTTTAAGGAGAAAGGCAGGGTGAAAATATTTTAAATAAAATAAATAAATACGTAGGTAAGGAGAGGGTGGAAAAGCAGAGGGCAATCTGCACTGGGAGTGAAACGTCACAGTGCAATTTATTTATTTATTATTTATTTATTTGATTTATATCCTGCCCATCTGGTATAACATACCACAAGCATGGGCAGGCATTACTGGGACAAGCCTGTGTATCCCAGTATCTCCAGCAACAAATAACCTCATCTGTTAGGTGTGAAAATGCCCAGTTTTCACAAGGCTGAAGCTGGTTACTTGTGCCAAATTCCCTATTCACGTAAAGTAGGAACAAGACTTCCATCATTAAAAGGCATAAGGAACTGAACTTTATATTCCCTTGTATCTGGGGGGTGAGGGGTAGTGTTGTCCATTAGGGGCAAGCAAAGCACTACCTCTCTCTCTCTGATTACTATAAAGGGTAATATAGGCCATATGTTACTCCCAATACTCAGGCAGTATGGCCAGTGGCTGAGGATTCTGGGCATTGTAGTCTAATGCCATTTGGTAAACCCAAAGTTGGCTATCCCTGCTCAGTGAGATGGCATAGAACTATTTCCATCCTATACGTTTCTTAAGGCAGAAGATGCTATCAAGAGCAAATGCTCATGCTGATAACAGCTAAAGTATGTAGATAGTGATAAGAGAATAGTTCAACTTTTCATTGTTATCCTTCATTGCAACACAATGGGAGAAAATGGGAGCTAGCAAGAAAAAACCCTCACAAGGTTGTTACGTATATGCAGTTATACAACAGCAACGAGTGTATTCTCTAAAACGTGCTGTTTCGCAGATAATGCTCCCTGTGCATGTGAAAGCAGACACACAGAGATGCTAAAAGAGGCAACTCCCTCCACAATATTTTCCAGAACTTGAAAGTCTACATACCATACTTAATGAGTGTCGTGTTTAGAGCCCTGAGAATCTGGGTTCGTGAGATGGTGGTGAATCATGCTCCTCCAAACTCAAAGAAATGTCTTTTGTTGTCATTCTTGCAGCCAGTCATTGTCTGGTTCTGTGATAAACTACAAAATCTAACTAATATGCTAGCCTTTGAAATATTAGGATATTCCTCTTAGAAAAGATTTCACTTATCAGGCCTAAGATTCCAAATAATATACTATTATGTTCTACTTATATTGGTTGAATAAGCTTAAAAACCTGTGGTTGGGAAAAATTATTTGTGAAGAAATGCTCAAAATGAATGAGTAAAGGGAAAAATATGCCTATCAATTTACTAGATTATACCTGATAGATAGATAGATAGATAGATAGATAGATAGATAGATAGATAGATAGATAGATAGATAGATAGATAGATAGATAGATAGATAGATAGATAGATAGATAGATAGATAGATAGATAGATAGAGAGAGAGAGAGACAGACAGACAGACAGACAGACAGACAGACAGACAGACAGACAGACAGATAAACTGCCCAGAATTTTTATTTATTTTATTTATTGTATTTATATACCACCTCATTAGTGCAGTGCACTATTCTGGGCAGTTTACAGCAAGCTAAAAAGATGTAATAATCATATATAAATAAACCAGTTAAACAAACATATTCATTTATATACTCTAAGGCTTGTTGACCATTCTTGAAAATATTGAAAATACAATAACAACACTGACTAGCATTGTGTCCTAATAAAGCAGCTGTTAGAAACGGCATCTGCTTTGCTTTATTGGTTTGTTGTTGTTTAGTCGTTTAGTCATGTCCAACTCTTTGTGACCCCATGGACTAGAGCACGCCAGGCCGTCCTGTCTTCCACTGCCTCCCGGAGTTGGGTCAAATTCATGTTGGTGGCTTTGGTGACACTGTCCAACCAACTCATCCTCTGTCATTCCCTTCTTCTCTTGCCCTCACGCCTCCCCAACATCAGGGTCTTTTCTAGGAAGTCTTCTCTTCTCATGAGATGGCCAAAGTATTGGAACCTTAGCTTCTGGATCTGTCCTTCCAGTGAGCATTCAGGGTTGATTTCCTTTGAACTGGATAGGTTTGTTCTCTTTGGAGTCCAGGGGATTCTCAAGAGTCTCCTTCAGCACCACAATTCAAAAGCATCAATTCTTTGGCAGTCAGCCTTCTTTATGGTCCAGCTCTCACTTCCATACATCATGAAGGTATTCTCTTCATTGATTGCTGCCTTGTTGTGGTGAAGGGGCTTGAGTAATTCAGAGAAGCTATGGGCTATGCCATGCAGGGACACCCAAGACAAACAGGTCATAGTGGAAAGTTCTGACTAAACATGATCCACCTGGAGCAGGAACTAGCATGCCACTCCAGTATCTTTGCCAAGAAAACCCCATGAACAGAAACAAAAGGCTTTATTGGTGCATAAAGCCAAATTAAACCAAAGACTCACTTAAACTGTGAGAGGCTGTGTGTTGTAGTGGGTAGAGTGTCCAATTAGGACACAGGTGAGCTGGGTTCCAATTCCTGCTCAACCTTGGAATTTTACTAGGGAGTGGGATGGAGTTGCCAAAGTAAACTGCTCTTTGAACATCTCACTTAGCGGTACTTCAAAAACCCTATAAGTCAGAAGCAGTCTGACAGTGCTCAACAGCAATTTAAAGACTAGCCTATTTGTCTAATTTGCTTGATTTGTACTGCTTGTTACTTTTGCTTCTAACATAATTTCATTTCCAGGCTTTGTTCATTTATTATTATATTCTCTCCATTTTACATGTACTCATATATTTGTCTTTGCTTGGATGTAGCTGCCAATCACCAATGGCCAATGAAAGATATCATCATTAAGACTTATACCTATGATCTCCCTAGAATTGTTAATGACCCTTACCAACAAGTTAAGATTATCACCATACTGGACCTTCTGCACCTACGTTGCATCTCACAATCCCTTCTTCCTCTTGTTTATACAAATCTGTGTACTGAGACTTTAATTCATGCATCTGACAACGTTGGCTACAGTCCATGAAAGTTTAGGATGAATAAAACCTGTTAGTCCTGAAGGTATCAGAACATTTTGTTTATTAGAGGCCACATTTCAAGTGAAGGCTGTTTTCATTTGTTTAAAAATACACATAAAAGCAACATATACACATAATTTCCAGGTGGATAGCTGTGTTAGTTGTGCCCCCCACCAAATCAACAGAGAGCCTTGTGGCACCATAACAAATTAAGTGTTGAGCCTTTTCTGTTGCTGCTCCCAGACTCTGAAACTCCTTTCCATGGGAGGCCATGCTGGTTCTCCCATCTTTTCTCTCTTTCTACTAGCAGACAATGACCTTTCTCTTCATACAGGCTTTCCTTTAAATGACTGGTTGACCAAGGGGATTTTTTAAAGGGATTATTTATTTATTAGTTGTATTTATATGCCACATTTCTCCCAACAAGGGACCCAAAGCAGCTGTTGTTTTTCTTGTGCTTTTAATATTGCTCTTACTTACAAGTTTTAATATGATATTTGTTTCTTTTTAAATATTGTAATAGCTTATTATTTTAGTATTTAAATTTGTTTCTTTTAATACTGTAAGCCACTGGATCCTTTAGGAGAAAGGCCTCAAAGAAAGAAAGAAAGAAAGAAAGAAAGAAAGAAAGAAAGAAAGAAAGAAAGAAAGAAAGAAAGAAAGAAAGAAAGAAAGAAAGAAAGAAAACTAAATTATAAACCTCTAGTAACCCCCCAACGGCCAGTGAAATAAAGTGTTTCCACCTGTCTGTTAAAGAAGACTAAGGTTTTCCCCAGAAAAGGCTTCTGCAACTCCAGGACCAGACAGTAGACAATTTTAGACAGATTTAGCTGTAGCCAAGGTGGCCAAAGGACAACCCAACAGATGTTGTTGAGCTTCGACTCTATTTTCACAACAATTCCTTGGCTAGCTAAAGTGTGGCTCCCCCCTCAGCACTGTGAATAATTTCCATGCTCACTCCTTTTAGGAAGGGTGTGAAGACAACATCTTTTCAAACTGCCCTATGATAGTGCTTTATTTATTGCACTGGTTTCGACTGCTCATTTTTGGTGACAATACTGATGGACCAATGGTCTGACTGAGTATAAGGTAACGTCCAAAATACAGGCTTGAATCCAACTGTACTTCTGAGTAGAATTAAACGTGTTCAGTTTGAAGGGATTTACAGGTTGACTCTATTGTCTGCTACTGGTTCAGTGGATCTGCTCGAGTAGCACTAGAAACTGGATTTCGGCTGATAAAATTAGGGAGCAGAGCTTTGTTTCTGGCCCATACCTGGAACTTCTTATTTCAGAAATTAAACAATGAAAGCAGAACACCACTAACAAATTACTGAGATAATGGAACTGGACTGTTAAAACTGAAAAGAGCCACATGCCTTCTTACCTGCTGCTGCTGTAAGCAGAAAACCACCTACGTAGCAAAGGACTGCTGCCAGCTTCACCATTGTGGTGTGCTCCAACTTGTCTCTTTGTCTTTGATGCAGGTAAAAGGTTTTCTTCCTTAGTAAGCTTTGTTCTTCTTTGTTTCCACTCACTTGGCAGGTAACTGTATACTCTCCAATTTAATCACGAATGGCTTCCCATCCTGCAGATGTTCTAAATGTCCAGATTACCCACGAGATGAAAAAGTTGGAGAAGAGTCCAAATCCGGTCACAACAAATCCAAGAGAAACAGCCGTGTTATGAAACTTCTAGATAAACAGGCACACAGAGAGACACCTGGATTCACTAACCTATGAAGAAGAGGCATGTAGGTTAAGAAAGGGGAAGGGCCAAGTTCTTTGCACCCAATCAAAAGCCACAGATTAAGACTTTCCTTAACATACCATCTTTCCCAGAGAGAAAACACCCAGCCCTTAGACATAATTATCACACAGTTACACAGACACATAACAAAATTCTGATTAGCATGTTAGCTAGGTGTGGGCTGGATATAACAACTGCCAGGTGGATACACAGTTGGCTACAGAACCGTATTCAGAGGGTGATGATTAATGGCTTCTTTTCAAACTGAGAGGAGGTAACAAGTGAGGTACCCTAGTCCTGCACCCTGTGCTCTTCAACAGTATTATTAATAATCTGGATCAGGGGATACAGGAAATGCTAATAAAATCTGTGGATGAGACAAAATCGAGTGGAATAGCTAATACAGTGGAAGGTAGAAACAAAATTCAAAATGATGTGGATAGGCTTGAGCACTGGGCTGAAAACAGCAGAATGAAATTCAACAGGGATAATAAGTGCAAAGTACTGCACCTAGGAAAAAGAAACCAAACACACAGTTATAAAATGCCTGGCTCAGCAATACTACAAGTGAGACGTATCTTGGGGTCATTGTAGATTTGTGTTGGTAGCTTCGGTGAAACTGCCCAACCATCTCGTCCTCTGTCATCCCCTGCTCCTCTTGCCTTTGCACTTTCCCAGCATCAGGGGCTTTTCCAGGGAATCTTCTCTTCTCATCAGATGGCCAAAGTATTGGAGCCTCAGCTTCAGGATGTGTCCCTCCAGTGAGCACTCAGGGTTGATTTCCTTCAAAATGGATAGGTTTGTTCTCTTTGCAATCCAGGGGACTCTCAAGAGTCTCCTCCAGCACCACTTTACCTTACAAGGGTTAATTATCTTTATAATTTGTGCAGCTGAGAAGACAGCAAAAGTGGGGGATGGTGATTTATTCTCGTATTGTCTCAGTTATGGGTGTCAGCCACTGTGAGAACCAGAAGAGCTAGGTTTTTTTCATTAGCTCCATCAGTTTGCTTCTCATCTTATGATTATGAGGGAACATGAACATGATTCTCTCCAGTTTTGAGCAAACAATTGTGAATACACTCATCTGCTACTTCTGCGCTGACAGTAATGCTTCTTTTGTGGGTCCCACTGCTCTTTTAAATCCTGAAGCAAATAGATTTCTTTAAAATATTTGAGGATTTGACACAGAAATTCAAAGGACTATTAAGCATCACAAGTCCATGCTAATTATAACTGTTCTTTTTCAAAAAGCAGAGAGAAATTTAACTTGCTTTTTAATTCTTGACCACTGCAACTAGATGGGCCTTGCACTTCTGGAGGAGACGATTCATTCACAGGCCTCTTCCAAGCCACTCTCAAACCATGAGACTGTTGTGGGAAAAAAATCTGGGCTTTGACTAGCAATCTTCACTTTTAGTGAGTTGTATGGCATTTCACAAGGGTCCATGCCAAAGCTCTATGTGTCTGTGTCTGCCCATGGTACAGTGGTGGCTTTATGCAAATCCTAAACTTATGTATCAAATATATGGACTGGACTATTGAATTTTGTCAGTGGGACTTTTCCAAGATTCTTGTCATATCTCCAACTCTGGACCTGTCCTGTTTATTCCACAGCCAACAATGGGAAAACAGATGGCTCCCAAGGTAGTTTTGCAGCTCCATCAAAGTCCTTAATACCCATTTTACAAAAATGTCTTCATCAGCAATATGGAGGCAAGTGTGATCTGCCATTCTTGGAAATCTCCACGATCAGCAATCATCTTTTAAACAGGTCACCAGGTACTCTCTGAAGCATTTTACACCACAAGTACAGTATATGTGCACCACTTGGTTAAGAGCTAGAGGTGGGGGTATCCATATACGAATATGCCCACACAGGTGGCGTTAATGGGGGTCCAGCCCAACGGGGCCAGATGCTCCACTCACCAATCCACTGCGGACGTGGACAGTGCAATTCTACAAATGGTACCACAGCATGCGATCCACTCACCACCCTTCAACCTTGCAGTGAGGATTGTCCTCCCGCCTCCTGCCTGGAGTGGTGAGTGGTGAGTGGATCACACGCTGCAGAGCCATTCCTGGAATCGCGCCATCCGTGTCCACATTGGTGTGTGGACCGTCCAGCCCCATGAGGCTGGACCCTTGTTAACACTGCCTGTGCGGGAATATTCATTTTTGTATACAAAGATCCCCATCTCTATTAAGAGCTCATATTCTCACCTTGATGTGCTGGAAAGTGCCTGACAGATGAAGTCACAGAACTGGGCATCTATCTAAGGATGATGGGATCAGGATTCCAAGGAGTTAAAGGAGTATGGGACTTCAGAGCCAACCCGTTGCTCTTTACTCATCCTACATACAATCAGCAGAATTCACATTCCTTTGCCCTTCTTTGCAGGAGCACACTTTTGTGGTAGAGGGGTAAGGGAAAATGTACAGAAAGAACAGTGCTGGGTCTGTCTGGGGCCCACTGGCCATCAGCGCCATTTGCACGGAGCTCTTTCCCCTTGGATGGCTAATAATGACCAATTCACAAGGTATAGGAAAAAGAAAGGCCCCAAAGGACCACAGTGGGAATGCTTTCTATGGTCTACAGCTGGGAGTTAAGTAGACATTTCAGTCTGAGTAGGTTCCAGTTCAACTTGTGTCAAAGGTTGCAGTTGTTTTTGCAGATGTGACTACCGTACTTTCCATAATTAGTAGAGATCATAGTACAGCAGCACATATATTTCATTCACAGGGTAGGAATGCACACACCCCTACACACCAGTTTTATGATATCCATAGTGGAAGTTCTCTTCCACTGCTGGCAACAAACATTCCCCCCTATTTTAGCAATGCTTTGAAGACAAGAGCCAGGGCAGTGATATTGGTTCCGTTCCTTCACCTTACTCCTGCCAGCCCACAGGTTCCCTTAACCTCTTCGCTAATCACAGCAGTGCAAGCACCCAATGAGGCTTTGAGTTAACTTCACATTATGGCTGTCACCAAGAGATGGACAACTTGGCTTCATCTTCTTTCATGGCTCATCTTCGCCTCTGACTTCAGTGGAAGAACTAAAGTTCAGAAGGCAGCTGCTGCTTGAGCTGCAACCCAGCTGAAAGTATGTAAAAACGATGTCTTGTCAAAACTTGTGTGATAAGAAACAAAATTAAAGAGGAAAAATGGAAAGGGAGAAGGGGCCAAACTTGTATACACTAACAAATTTGTATACACTAACTACTTCTTCAGATAAAAATGTGTCCGAAGAAATTAATTTTGATCACAAATGCTCACAATGAAACAAATTTCACAATACTTTCTTTTATTTTCTTCCTTCAGTTTTGCCAACATGCTGAGACAGACTAACAACAGACAACAGCTACTTCTTTGGCAAATATGCAAGGCTGGTTGGGAAATTACTTGGGAACCACATAGTGAACTTACATGTCAGATTTGTGTGATATAATAAAATAAGGTGAACAAAGCAGGAACTTAATTGTTATTCCCCCTAGCAAAAGGGCAAGATGTTGTTTGTGGGTCTGTGTGCATGAAACCACGAACATCTTCCTTGAAACCAAGAGTTCTTTGGGCTAGAGTTGAATGGTTTCCTTAAAAACATGCTGACAAACAAGAAATAGTTTTAAGGTTTGTTTATTAAAAAAAGAAAGGTTACTTACCTGTAACGATGGTTCTTCAAGTGGTCATTCTGTGAATTCACACAATCCCGCCCGGCCTCCCCTCTGTCTGTCTGTCACTGGCATCTCTCTGACTCGAGGGCCTATGGCGGACAAATGGAACTGAGGGACGGTTAGGCTGGGCGTGCGCAGTAGGGGTAGTCCTAAACATTGTTACTTTTCTCTTGCAGCTAGAAAACGTTCCGAGAGGCCCAACGCTGGCGCTGGTATTAACCCTTTGTGTGCATTCACAGAAGACCACGATGAAGAAAAGAAGTATCACACTTATTAGGTCTTTATTTCCAGATTCTCGGTTCTCACACTCTACAGGAGCAGAATTCTAGGTGAAACTTGGAACAAACTCAAACAGCTATTGATCAGTCTTATGCTGCTTTATCACAAAATGTACATGAAATACTCTTGGGATGAGTTATAACAATGTTTGTCATTATGAAGCTTAACAGTCTAATTAGATGCAAATTTGGAAGCCAAGTCTCACAGAATCCTAAGACACTTTACTTCCCAAGTAGACTTATAGGAGAACAGCCAACTCTATACCCACTTACTTGGAAATAAAGCTGTACTAAACCCTGCGGAACTTGCTTCCCAAGGTAACAATGTGTAAAATGGGCTATTGCGCCCAAATTCAGAGCATGGTCTCTAGAAGACTTTGTTACACAGAATGAGCTTATTTGGGGCCAAAACCATGCTGCTTAGGAATGACAAAAGATTTTCAGAAATTAGAAGCAATCAAATATAAAGCATTGCCCTTGGTTTACAAAATGAGTGTCATATAAAAATATTGCCACTTGGTAGAAGCAATTTGCAGTCACCTCATATATTCTTTTTGAATATATTAAGACAAATGGTTGGTACAGAACATATGTATAAAGTTATATACCGTGATGTGAAATGGATCTTTCATTTAGTATAATGCAAGGGGGGCAGTAGTATGGTGGAGCCAGGGCTCAGCATAGAGGCCATGGATTTGTGTAGCAAGGCCTATGGCATTATCCTCTGCCCCTCTCAGGTTTCATGCTTAGCTAAATCAGTCACTGCAGCAGGGAGAGAAATAGACTTTCTCAGGTATACCACTGCAAGCTCATGCTGTCCAAATGCAAATTGCTGAGGGTGATTTGGTCTTGAATAGGCAATTAAGGGTCATTAACTTTGCAAAATACCTGTTCTTGATTTGTTGATACAGGTCAATCCAGGTTCCTACAATTCTGGACTCTCCTTATGGGAGCAATAGTAGCTATGGGAACTGCCATGATGAGCACCTGGGCTTTCAAATTTACCACTATATAATCGAAACAAGGAGAATTAAAGGATGACAAATGTCCATCCAGTTTAAGTAAGAAATCATCACTCACTATTGTCCTGTAGAAGGCCAATCATGCAGAAATCACATTCTGTGTCCTGGTTTGTTTCAATTACATTCACAAATACTTAGCTAGAAACTATGACAGTTTTCAGAAAGCAATACTTTAAATCAAACATTTAATGATATACTGTAACTGGTTTAATTTTTTTTATCATAAACTGGTGCTAACCTTGAAACTGAAACTGATTTCAGAGATTCTTTAAGAATAATTTCCTCTAATGAAATCAATCTACTTACATGTTCCCAGTGGCCCCATCATCAAGGCCTTTCTCCTCATTAAATGAAACAACATAGAATATTCAGCTCACATTGTTCTAAGCAATTACTTCCTACTGATTATCTTAATGGCACTTCATGGTGTACTACTTAAGGCATCTGCAAATGAACAAATAAATCTCATTATTGGAAGTTTGTTGCCTTTTTGTTCAAAAGAAGTACAGTACGCCAATTTTTTGTAAACACAACTGCTGGCAGGGCACTTTGTAATTAATAAAGAGGCATGTGCCACAACACAGATCTAAGTGGCAAATTGTGGTGGCTGCACTAATCTTGGTACCCTAACATAACACAATTTGGCCTCGGAGACAACAGTTGGGTGAATTGAGAAACAACTAGTGCTGCATACACTGAACTTTACTGTCAGTCATGTTGGGTGGGGGAGGAGAAAAGAAACTCTATTTCCACTGCTACGTCTATATTTTAATGCAAGGTAAAAAAAAATTGGTAGATGAAAGGCTGCAAGCATAACATGTCTTGAGCAATGGGCTGGACTTGATGGCCTTATTGGCCACTTATTCCATTATTCTATATTTATGGATTTTTTTGACATCACTTCTGAGTGAGAAATATTAAGAAGCACAAAGCACCCTCACTTTTTATATTGCATAGGAAGACAAAGGTACAATGCCAGTTTCTTCAGAATCAAAAAGGACTTTAGAAATTGCATCTTGGAAAAGCTGCAGACAAAAGCATGTTCCAAATTGTTTTTCCCACACACTTGCCATAGTCGTGATACACACAGAAAGAGGGTTGATTCTCAATAGCTGGAGTCAATAGGGACAAACAGGTTTAGTCTGTTCCAAAGGGGATTTCAGAATTTAGGTTGGAATTCAACTTCAGTGAAGCTGGAAAGGAGGAATTCCTGCAGTGGGCAGGGGCCAAAGAAGAAGGGAAGGAGCAGAAATGCCAGCACACTGTAGCTTAAAGCACTTGCTGACAATAATTAATTCTAAGAGGAGATATCTCAAAGGACATATATGCCTGAATGCAAAAATGGATTGTGATTCTCTGGTGCTCGTGCAGTATATAGGGCCCTCCTCATTATTTAGCCTTCTTAAAGGCTTGTTGCTCATATATTCTAAGATCATTTCAAATTTTAAGATTCTTGCTAAAAGGCAAAAGACAAATACTTCAGGATAAAAGCAACAAATTCCAAAAATACATGTTTAAAAGCTAATAGTTAGCCAATATGCAACTTTCTAGAGGGTAAACCACAGATACAAGTACTTTCAGAAGTACTTCAGAAGGTGTTCCAACAGGACTACTTTAACACTGTTTTGTCATTTCAAAGAATATTTCCTTTGCTGCTTAAAATGTGTTGTATTTTTTTTTCAGGGAAATATGCAGGTTCTCTATCGACCTTCTGGTCTTCTTTTCATCTTAAATTCCACTATGACTTCTGCAGAAGCGTACGCTGAACTGAAAGAGAGAAAAAGAGAATGATGTTACATTCTTTTCAGTTATGAGATGCCTGAGATAGGGTCAAAAAGACGGGTTGCTGCTCTAACTCATAGGCTTAAATCCAACTGGTAAATCCATTGAATCAATGGGATTTTCTTTAAATGTCAACTCACCTTGCAGCAATGAATTCAATGGCCTACTCTATTTGGGTCATTATTAGCCCAATATTATGTTTGAGTGTTTTCATGGGGGATTAATTTTAGGCTGAAATACCTTCCTTCTCTAGCTGGTAGAGCTAGAGAACCTTGAACCCTTCACTCCTCAACCCCAAAGTCACCTAAGTCAAACTGTTCTTTGGGAATGCTGATGCAGCTCAGTGCAGAATTTCAATAACACTTCTATTCCACAATTCTTCTACAGATCTCATAGTGATATATCAGTAGTGGCGAAGCTTTTTGGGCTCGTGTGCCAAAACGGGGGTGGGGGGAACCTAGCAGGTGGTGGAGAAACCGGAAGTGGCGGCGGAACAGGGAATCCCAGGCACGGAGGTGCCTCGAGACTCCACTCCAGATCTGCCTGCTGAAGTGCCAGCACTGCGGCTGCAGCCGCCTTATTAATTTATTTTATTTATTTACAGTAATTTTTAGCCGCACCATTACCAGTGGCTTCTGCGCACGGGAGGGGGGTAGCGATCTGGTGACTTATGGCCTGCATGCCGGCAGAAAGGGCTTTGCATGCCAACTGTGGCACACGTGTCATAGGTTCACCATCACTGTGATATATGCACACATACCCTGCCTTTCATTATTAGAGCAACACTACATGTTAGGTGTGGCTGGGAAACAGGGCTTGTTAATTGGTCCTCTCAACTAGTAAACTTTGTGGTTCAGTCACAAATGGAGCTCCACTGACCAAAGTTTTTTGCAGGTACAGTTTTTGCACAAACTGTAACAAAAGCCAAACTAGAATCAGATCAAAAGCCTATCTGGTCCAGCGCTTTTTGCCTATGGAAAACTACAAGCTGGCCTATTGTGCTCCTTAGAAATTCAAACTTAGAAACACATTGACACTTCTCCTGGAGGCAGTATAGAGCCATTCATGGACACTCTCCATGCATTTATCTTTTTCTAAAGCCAACCTGGAAGTCTTCACTAAATTTCGTGGCACTGACTTCACATAAATCCATATGAAAAAGTACTTCCTGTTAGTAATCCTGAATCTCCTGTATTCAACTTCGATGTATTAACTTCTTGTTATAGTATTAGGTGAAAAAAACTACAGAAGGTACAGAAGCTACAGAATCGTACTCAGAGGGTGATGATTAATGAATGGGTCCTTCTCTAACTGGGAGGAGGTCAAGTGGGGTACCCCAAGGCTCAGTCCTGGGCCTGGTGCTCTTCAATATTTTTATTAATGACTTGAATGAGAGAGTGCAGGGAATGCTTGTCAAATCTGCAGATGATACCAAACTGCGTGGAATAGCTAATAGCCTAGAAAACAGAAACAAAATTCAAAATGACCTTGACAGGATGGAGCACTGTGCTGAAAGCAATAGAATGAAATTCAATAGGGATAAGTGCAAAGTACTGCACCTCAGAAAAAGAAACCAATTGCACAGTTGCAAGATGGGGGATACCTGGCTCAGCAAAACTATGAGTGAGAAGGATCCTGGAATTGTCATAGATCACAAGCTAAATATGAGCCAACAGTGTGATGTGGCTACAAAAAAGGCTAATGATATTTTAGGCTGCATTAATAGAATTACAGGGGTGCCTCGCAGAACGAGCGCCCCGTAGAGGCCATGTGCCAGTCCCCCTCTATTCAGCACTGGTTAGGCCTCGCCTTGAGTATTGTGTCCAGTTCTGGACACCACACTTCAAGAAGGTCGCTAACAAATTGGAACAAGTTCAGAGGAGGGCAACAAGGATGATCAGGGGGCTGGAAACCAAGCCTTATGAGGAAAGGCTGAAAGAACTGGGCATGTTACATTCTCAAATGTTACATTTGAGAAAAGAAGACTGAGGGGGTGATATGATAGCACTTTTCAAATATCTGAAAGGCTGTCATACAGAGGAGAGGCAAGATCCATTCTCAGTCATTCCAGAGAGAAGTACACGCAACAATGGGCTCAAGTTAAAGAGGAGTACACACAACAATGGGCTCAAGTTAAAGGAAACCAGATTTCAGTTGAGTATCAGGAAAAACCTAACTGTTAGAGCAGTACGACAGTGGAACCAAATACCTCAAGAGGTGGTGAGTGTGCCAACAATAGAGGCTTTCAAGAAAAACTTTATCATCTGGCAAATATACTTTGATTATATTTAATACAGTGCGCCAACAATAGAGGCTTTCAAGAAAAACGTTATCACCTGGCAAATATACTTTGATTATATTTAATAATCAAATATAAGAGTTTAGATTTGATGGCCTTGTAGGCCCCTTCCCACTTTACTTTTCTATGAAAAACACAAACCTTTCCCCCTCTATTTTCTGCAGATCATTTTAAATTGCACCTTTATTTGTTTGTTCACTTGCTTTCATCCTGCCTTGCTTCACAAAAGGACACAAGGTGGCTTACCAAGCACACAAGTACAGTGGTACCTCGATTTACGAACGTAATCCGTATTGGAACAACATTCGTAAGTCTAAATTTTCGTAAGTTGAAGTACAATTTCCCATTGAAATGCATGGGGACGGGATTAATTGGTTCCAGCATTTCAAAAAAATACCAAAAATAAAAATAAACATAGCAAGTTCCATGCTGGGACTGCCAAAAAAAAAAAAAAAAAAAAAAATCACCAAAAACGCTGACCCTCAATCCAACAACAAAACAAAAAACTTTTTGCGCTGACCTTCAATCCAACAACAAAACAAAAAACTTTTTTTTAAAGCAGCACCTTACCGGTCTGAAGCCTCCTCAGCCTCCCGGGCTTCCACCGCAGCTGGGAGGCTTGAGCCTGTCTGGGTTTCTCTAGCCGCTCGCCTTCCACTTGCTTCGCGCCACCCTCTGTGGGCCGATGGCGGGAAGTTCAAATGGCGGAGGGCAGCGAGGAGCGAGCAGGAGGCGAGCAGCTGAAGAAACCCGGCCAGCTCAAGCCTCCCGGGGCTGGTCACCTCCGCCCCCACCAGAGCATCCAGAAGACTCAAGCCTCCTGGCTCTGGGCTACTCCCACCGCATCCCTTTCCCTAACTGTTGGGGCGAAAGAGCTACAAAGAAGCAGCCTCTTCGCCACCAACAGTTAGTACAGTAAATTTAAATTTCCCACCCTTTCCCCCTGCCTTTTTTGTGTTCGTAAGTCGAAGCTCCGTTCGCAAGTCGGAATGTTCGTAGGTAGGGATGTTCGTAAGTCGAGGTTCCACTGTACATGAAGAGCCAAGAAAAAATGATGTCGCATATCCAAAAGCCACATTTAAATACACAGGCTTGTATGAGCTCATAGGATGGCTATATCTAGCCCTTAAAGGACAACATAGCCCCTGTAGTACCTTAGACCAGAGTGTTCTGGAGCTCCTTCTTACTGCAACCTCTAAAACTTCAGCTCAATCTAACCCAGTTTAATAACGAAAACACTCAAGGACAAAAGGTTTGCTTTCAAGCCACTACTGAAAGCATTTTGTCACCACTTCAATCGAAGGCTGAAAGCTTCCAGCAATCACAGACATCAATTCTTAGTCATCCTAAGCCCCACAAGCCCTTTCAGTGGCTGCAAAAGCCCTGCACTATGGAGATGAAGCAAACTCCAAAAAAAGGCTCTCGCCATAATGAACACAAACAAAAGACAAAGTTGCTGCCTTGTGCTTTTATAGGAAGCTTCTTTGTTCTGCACAAGAGTTGACAAGCAAAACTAATCTTTCCTGCTTCCAGCTTGCTTTGCTTTCCCGTCACTCTATCCAAATTGTTAACGATTTTCCCTGATGGCAATTCCTGCTAAACTTTGCTTTATTGGTCTAATCCATGTTCTAATAATAAGGGGGATGGCTGTCATGCTTCCAGCACATTCCACTACAGTGACCAATAGCTAGTTATATTCCTCTCCCCACATTAGGCCTGTAATGCAAAACCCACTTTCTTCATGTTATGCGCTGTCAACTCGTAAATGACTTATAGTGACCCTAACAGAGTTTTCAAGGTAAGTAAGATATTTTAAGGAGTGATTTTACCAGTTCCACTCCTCCAATTAATTTCCATGGCTGCGCGAGGATTCAAACCCTGTTCTGCAAACTTACCAGTGAGTAAACTCCACTCAACACAGACTTACTTCTGAGAAAACTAGCAGAGCACTGGCTGCATCTTGCTTCAGCTTGTAATTTTTAACTTAAACACACACCCCATAACCATTCCATTACCTTACAATGCCTGAAATCCTTTTCAGGAACTTACACCACTCAAGCCTGATTATGTCATCCTTGCCAGTGACTTCTTGGAAATACAAGATTTCTGATTCCCCATCACCCACCCAAAGGTTCCAATGCTTCTGTGGGATCCCTTTCATCATGGGAAATCTGCTAGGATTTGTGTGAACGGAGAGAGGAGTTTGTCATTTCCAAAAATTGCTATCAGTTTAATGATTTTACTGGCATGAACCTGAGGCATGGTTGAAGGAAACCTGAATTCCATCTCTAGGATAAAGATTAGAGATAGGGGTATTCGTATACAACTATCCCCGCACAGGTGGCGCTAACAAGGGTGGTCTGACATGATTCTACCAACAGTTCCGCAGCGCACAATCCACTCATCACTCCTGGCAGGAGGCGGGAGGACAAACCTCACTGCAAGGTCGAAGAGTGGCGAGCAGATCACATGCTGCAGAGCCAATGGTAGAATCGCACCATCTGCGTCAGCGGCAGATTGTTAAGTGGACCATCTGGCCCCATGGGGCTGGACCCTCGTTAACGCCACCTGTGCAGGGATATTCGTATACAAATACGAATACCCTCATCTCTAATAAAGAGTTCTTAGATTTGCTTTCCCTTTCCTGTTGGGAAAAATCTTAACTTTTGTACTGCTTTCTGCAGGGTAAAGGTTCATTCAGATTCATTCCCACCCTCCCAGATTCATTCCAGCCTCTCTGGGTAGGGCTGGTACAGACATTTGCCTTAGAAGAACTGCTATTTGCCAGTATGAAGTAGATGGACCACTGACTGAATTTGCCACAAGCAGCTTCCTATGTTTCTACTGACTCTGTAGAAACATTTCACTGATGGCAATAATCTCACATAAGCAAGCAGAAACACAAGAAATTGAACATGATAAGTTGGTTCAATGGTCTACTGAGATGGTGTGAACTTTGATATTAAATACAGTGGTGCCCCGCATAGCGACGATAATCCGTTCCGAAAAAATCATCGCTATACGGATTCGTCGCTATGCGGGGCAAAAAAGCCCATCGGAACACATTAAAACACGTTTAATGAGTTCTTATGGGCAAAAAACTCACCGTTCTGCGAAAATCCTCCATGTGGCCACCATTTTCGCTGCCCGATAAGCAAGGAAAGGGCGTGAAAACACTGCGGGCAGCCATTTTATTTACCCGGCGGCCATTTTGGAACCGCCGATCAGCTGTTTTTAAAACATCACAATGCAAAAATCGGTAAGCGAAACGCTTACTGATCATCGCAAAGCGATTTTTGGCCTATCTAAACATCGCAATGCAATCACATTAGCAATTACAAAAAAACACGCGATTCGTCGTTAAACGAATCGCTCGTTATGCGGGGCACCACTGTACATCATTTTCTTAAAAATATGAAGCATTTTTAAAACAATGGATTAGATCCAGATGTAACTTGGAATATTTTAGAATTATGTTCACTCACATCGACTCATGAATAAATTAAGTTCCACTAGTTTCAAAGTGTTTAGGTAAGGCTAAATCTGGAATATATCCTGTTACTGCAATAATCTTATATTATTGTATAGCAGGCCCTGAAAAAGTAAGAAATACACTGTTTTCAGTGAAGGCTAAAAGTGCCTAATGGTTGTTTGAAGGCAAGTGATGCACTTCTATTGATGAAGCTTAGGGAGTTCAGCCCTATAACCTGACTGGGTGAATAACTTCATAGAGATACCCAGATGTAAACCACACTGAGCACCTTGGAAGAAAGTAGATACATCTGTGAGAAAGGATAAAAACATAGGTTTCTCAAAAATAAATTCCTTACCAGGAGGTTCTGCATGTGCTCCTTGTTGGCTTTCCATGTTAACATTTTCTTGATCTGCAGAGATAAACACAGTTTAGGCACCCAGCCTTCACGTTTCAAAGAAGATTTGTATCACATCTTTTATCTAATGCTGCAGGACTCATTTCAAGTACAGGCCAAAAGTTACACTGGGAAAGACAGTATTAGTGCAGTGCCTTGGTCAAGGATGGAGAATCTTCGGTCCTGCAGCTGATTTAGACGATGAGTCCAACAATACCTTACCATTGGCCATACTGAGGGAGAGTAATGGAAGCTGTAATCCAGTGACATCTGGAAGGTTAAAGGTTCCCTACACCATCTAAGTAATAAGGCCGCTATTTGATGGAGCCCTTTTCCCACCCATCTCAAATTCCCTGACGTCACTGCTTAGAGAATGTATAGGAAAATATTGTGGTCACCGTCTGAAACAAAACAATGACAACAAAAGAAAGCAACATTAAAAACGTACCTCCTGCTTTGAAGCAAAGCTTTTTCTTCTGGTAAGCTATAAAGCTTGACACTGCCCCAGCTATTGCCACAACTACTGAGCTTATAATGCCAGCAAGCATTCCTTGGGAAGCTGTGGAAACAGTTTTTTCCCTTGTTAGAAAACCCATTAAATCTATTTTTCTTTCTCAATAGTCATACACAAAACATGCTCCGTGGATTATTTTGTAAACAGCTGATTAACACACACAAATGCAAAGCTTACTCAGAAGGCACATCAGTGTTCAACCGGGGCTATTTGCAAGTAAGTATGCCTATAACTGGAGCCTAGACCACCTGCAATATCTGAAATAAGTATTATATGATCTACTACTCACAAATGTTTTGAATGTATGTACTAGTCAAAACAACATTCTTCTAAGCGTTGCTGTTCAGTTATGTAGAATTGTAAGAATGTCTATAAAACAGGGAGGATTCTGGGAATGTGGAACCAGAAGCATTTTTATCTGTGAAATAACTGGAGATAAAATCTATTTGTGGTCAAAATTAGAGACACTTCTTTCCTTGAGCTTCTTGAAAAGCGCTTATCCAGAAATAGTAGTAAAATATCTGAAGATCCAAATGACATGCCTTGAAGCCATATCTGAAATCACTGTAGTGGCTGGGAGGACAGTACATTTCATTTTCCAAGCATTTGGCTTTCAAATATATTAGAAAAAAAAGCTAACTAAAAAGCAACTATTTCAATGAGTTTTGAGAAACTGAAAAATAGTCCCTTTAAAATGCAACTGTTATGGTTAACTAACTACTACGTGTGAAGTCTTGAACCATATACTTCAAATATCCAGATGATTTCCAAATAAAGTCTGTGACTGAATGTCAGTTAAAAAAATAGAAACCAACAAAAAAGCATAAATCATCATTTTTAGTTCACTGATTTTTAGCTACTGGAAAAATATTTATTAAAATGGTATTTTTATGCAACACAACATACACAATTAAAATGGCATACATTTTTAGCACTCTTTGTCAAATTTTATTTATTTATTTATTTATTTATTTATTTATTTATTTATTTATTTATTTATTTATTTATTTCATGTTTATACTGCCTATCTGGTCAAATGTCAGTCAAACAGATAAGTTCAATCAAATCAGTCTAAAACAGCAGAAGACTTTCCAGGCACACCTTGCTTTTCTCCCCACTAATTTTATCATTGGAATAACAAGGTAAAAAGAAACAAACTTCTGTCAAAACATTTAAATGGCATATCTGTCAGAAACTTACCTGGTTCGGGTTTGGGTGTAGGCAGCTGACCCTCATATAAATCTTTGTCACTAAATCCTGTGAAAATAGAAAACTGTCAAGACAAGGTTCAAAATGGCTTGCCTAATTTCCTGTAGTAGTCTGTGAGGTGTTGGAACTCTTGATAAATCTTAAGCTTCTGTAACACTGCTTACGGTGCTTGGCATTTTTACCAGGAAGTTCCACTGTTACCTGTTTTGGATAACATACAAGGCTTACTACACTAACATTCAAAGATGCATGAAAGAACAGAGTTTGGAAATAACAAGCCAGAATTAGCATAGTATTGTTAAATTCACTGCTTTTCCCATTACAGGAGAGGAGTTACTGCTTTATAATAAACATTTTAAATGTAACAATAATGCATTTTCTATGTGTTAAAACAGTTACTTCTGCTATAGTTGTGCGTCCACGTTCGTCCTTCCTCAAAAGCTATATACCTCCCTTTTAAAACTAAGGGTATGATCACCGGGGGTAAATGTCTGGACTGTTTGTGGAGCAGTCCAGTTCAATCTATTTCCCAGTGATCACACAACATATGGGGTATTGTATTCCATATCCATCCTGTTCTGTGCCCAAGCTGGACTTTTGTGGTTGAGCTGCAGGGCTACTACTTCTTGAGGCTGGGCTGGAACCATTCCCCAGCACACAGAAGGGTCACTTTAAGTGATATCAACCCCCTCAAAATGACCCTTTCTGGTGCAACCGGCTGTGCAACAGTCCCACCATCTGATCGTGCCCTCATAAAACTCTGGCACTTCAAATGCTTCTGGACAACTAAGAGGCACAGCCTAGAAGGCACAGCCAATGGGCGGAGTTTCCGAAACCTACAGCTTGGTAACCGAAATCCTATATTCGTGAACAGGAATTGGTTGCACTGATTGGTATAGCCTGTGGGACAATAAGGCTAAGGGGAGTTGTGCAACCTTCGGGTTAAGACTTTTAGGCTAAGTTTTTACATGTGTTCTGCTACAGAAGTCTATTTGGACATGATCAAAGAAATTCATGAATCTCTGTAAAATTAGTCGTGTCGGCTCCATTGGCATGGTTCTCTCTTTCTCTGTGGAGGCAGATATGAAATCCTGTTACTGGGACAAGATCTTACCACCACTGTCATCATGACTTCCAGGTTGTGGCTGAGGTGCTGGTGGTGGTGCTGGTTTTTTGGGTTCATCACCTAGTGATAGACAGATAAGAACAAGCTTCATAATACAGAAAGCAGAAGACAAGCTAAAAGGCCTGGCATTATAAGAATGCTATCACATTATTATATTTTTATTATGAAACAATATTTGTATTTTTTTATATCAACACTGTACTTGGCAGTTTATCTACAATATCAGCAAAGGAATGATGGCACTGATACAGAGAGGCATCTCCACAACTTTCCTGCACACTCCCATAAGTCTGTCAGTTTCCCGTTTAGCAGCTTTTATTGTCATGTACAGAGAGAGGGGAGGACGGACGGACATAGACACAGATACACATTTAAGGAATAGTTGAGTAATTACTGTTAGGAAAAGACCCAAGTATAGTAAAACAGGCAAACATGCGGCCAGATTTTGTGACCGTAAGGTCTGCAAATAAATAAATTTGGTTTCTAAATAGAGATGGCAAATGGAATGAACCAGTGGAGGTGTGGAGGTATCAGGTTTATATAGAACAATGTACTCTGGAATGAAAAATCAATGGATTATTTCTATTTCTAAAGATACAGTACTGGTTTTAATGAGACACCTAGCGAAATAGCAGCAGTAATTCCAGATGTGATTGCTAACCATCTAGAAATATCTTTCATTAAAATAAAAACAACAGTGTTGTGCCACCTTAAAGAATAAGTGCAAATTTTCAATGTGAGATTACAATTTATAGGGCAAGATGAGTACCCAGAAACAACCTACTACAAGGCAGCCTCCAAACAGAAAACGACAGACCAGCACTGACAATCACCTCAATTCCCAAATAACAGCACTCAAATCTATAATAATACTTCCCTCTCCCAGGTTCTGAGTGGCTGATCAGTACTTGCTTATAGATAGCAAGTACTGATCAGTCACCCAGAACCTGGGAAAGTATTATTGTAGATTTGAGTGTTGGCCCAAAATCTTAAACTACTATTAATCACAATCTGTGCAACTCAGATAGAAGGATAAAGACAAGATACTGCCACAAAATTGCAAACTGTGTCCCTGCATCTACTCTGGCATCATCATTGTGGGCCCCCACAATGACACCCACAATACTATGAGCTCATTGTTTGCATGCTAATAGGATTGTGCTGTCCTTTATCAACAGTGTCTCTCTACATTCTACATAGGACAAACCGGACCACCTCTATGCAGAGAACATAGAGGACATAAACAGGACATCAGAAATGGCAACACATAAAAGGCAATTTCAGATTCATGCATCCTTTCCAAATACTCTGCTACAGATTTCAAAGTTGTGTTGCGAATCAAAGAAGTTACATATGAAGATGTGTGTGTGTGAGAGAGAGAGGGAGACAGAGAGTGAAAGAGCTAGCTTTAGTCAGCTACAGTGGGCCCTCGACTTACGAACGGCCCTACATGCGAACTTTTCAGGTTACGAACCCGGCCTCATCGCAAGTAGTAAGCCCTACTTGCGAACGTGGATCGGGTTACGAACCCAAAAGGCAGGGAGAAAGGGCGGGAAATTCGAATTTCCTGCCCTTCCTCCCTGCCTTTGGAGCTTTCAAAAGGCTTCCTCCGACATCGGAGGAAGCCTTCTGAAACCTCTGAAGCCAAAAAGGCAGGGAGAAAGTGCGGGAAGTTCGAACTTTCCGTGCTTTCTCCCTGCCTTTTTGGCTTCGGAAACAAGCCGGGCAGCCGATTTCCCCCCGGCTGCGCGGCTTGCTTCTTGTTTGGAAAAGCAAGCTGCGTGGCCAGCAGGAAATCGGCTCCCTCCTTGCACCCAATGCAGAGTCCACTTGGTGCCGGGCTGGACACGAAGCAGACTCTGCATCGGTTGCAAGGATGGAACCGATTTCCCCCTGGCCACGCGGCTTGCTTTTCCAACAAGAAGCCGCGGGGCTGAGGGGAAATCGGCTCCCTCCTTGTATCCGATGCAGAGTCCGCTTCGCGTTGGGCTGAGTGGAAGGAGGGAGCCGATTCCTCCCTAGCCGGCTTGCTTGCTTCTTGTTTGGAAAAGCAAGCCA